GCTATTTTATAGTTGAATAAATCATCCCAAAGATGACTGATACAGCCAGCTGGGTCCCCTGTCTGTCCATCCCGTCCCGTCCTGTCCTGTCCCATCATGGTCCTCCATGTCCCGTGTGTCGTGTCTGGTCCCGTCCCCACCACCACCACCACCCCCCGCCCAGCCATACTGGAGATTCAATCCAGGCCTTTGAGTTCCAGTCCTTTTTTTAATTTTTTGAGACAGGGTCTCACTAACTCATCCAGGCAGGGCTAGAACTTGCAATCTTCCTGCCTCAGTCTCCCAGAGTTCTGGGATAAAGTCATGTACCAGCAGACCCAGCTCAGCCAGCTGTTTTTAAGAACACCTGAGAGCCCAGCATGCAGACTGTAATCCCAGCACTGAAGAAGGCGGCTAAGGAAGAAGGATTGCTGTGAGTTTGAAGCTAGTTTGAACTATATAACAAGATCCTATCTCAAAAAACACCTAGGTGTGGGTGGTTTCCAGACATAGGGTGATACTGTGTTTGTGAAAGACCTGTCCCTGTCTTCTGTCCCTTTTTGCCAGCTCTCCCAGCTTAGAAGACCTTAGAATGAAAACATTTGTCTGCCTCCCCTGCTGACACTGTTTCATCCTCATGGCCAGTGTCTGCTTACTGGAGCCCCCTCCATGTGCCCACCCCCCATTTGCCAATGATTTTTTTAAAAAAGCCAGGGTGGGCAGCCTTTCACATGAGGCTGTCTCATGGCAGAAAGAGGCTTTTGGTCTACCCAGCTTGTGTGCTGCCATGCAAACCATAGACTAGAATTCTCTGTGCCACACTTGCAACACCTGAGGACCTTGAGTGGAGGCAAGTCACTTGCTCGTCTCTGACTTAGGTGAGGGTTAGGCGGATGGAAGAGGCCACAGTGCCTGATGCGCTTGGGCTTCCTGCGTTGCCCGGCCCCTGGGCAGTGCATCCTGTGGGATGAGATGCTTAGTTTTCTGTGGACCAGAGTGATGGTTGAGAATATGCAAAGGGGATATTTTCTGTTCTGTTCTCTGAACCCTCAGCTAAAACGGGAGGTAGCACTAGGGGCTAGGTACCCACCCAGCTGCTAGTTGGTGCCCAGGCCCACCTCCCTGAGACTTTACCCACAGCCACACTTGACTCAACTTTGCCTGACCCAGGTCACTGTGGCCTAACCATTTCCTGCATGCAGTGGTGAGGTGGAGAGATGCTGTGCTCTCTTGCTGTGCCCTCCAGTAGCTGAGGAGACTGCCATGGAGGGAGGGAGGGAAGATGGAAGATGCTGCTATGGAGCCAGGAGAAAGGGCCTTGGGCTAACTACTTATACTGGCGTGGTGGCTATCTGGTCAAATTGTGGTGGCTGTCTGGTCAAATTGTAGCCTCTGGACACGTGACTTTGAGGAAGTTACTGAATCTCCCTGATTAGGGCCTATGTTTCTCCAAAGAAGACTGTCACACAACCCACCTCTTAGGCTGTTGAAGATTAATACATAGAATAGAATAGCAGCTGATGTTCTGTGTTCAAATGTTGCTATTAGGATTATGAGGATGGTTATTCATTTATCGAGTTTGGTAGAAGAGCAAAGCAGTGGGGCCCCAACAGCCCAAGAGACAGGGTTTTAATCCCAGCTCTGCACTGAGAGGCCAGTGTGACTTTGGGCAAGTTCTTTCACGTCACTGAACTCCAGTTCCCTGTGCAGCACTTTAGAGACACTGCTCATTTCCTCAAGGGCTTGTATGCAGATTAAACATAATCCAAATGAGATGGCTGGCATGATGATACCTGATACCGAAAGTGTTTCCTTCCTTCCTCTCACCCAGCTGTTCAGCCCTACTTCTGTGTAGGGCTTCCCAGCAGCTCCTGTGCAGAGTCAGCTCAGCCAATATCTCATGACGCTGAGTACGTACCCCGTCACACTGGGAACAGCACAGGGTGAAGAGGTACCCAGCTGCAGGAGCAGGGCCCATCCAGGGTGGAATGGAACAGGGCCAAAGAAACCTCTGGCTCTGCCCTGGGGGCTTTACAGCCTGAGGGACCTAGTGCTATTTTTGGAATGGATGCAACTTAAGGTACCAGCTCCTGTCACAAGTGGTTGTCCCTTTGCCTGGTCAAAGGCGGAGTCAATGGGACGATGGTATCCCAAGGCTTGCTCAGATATGGATTGAGAAAGAAACCTGCTAAGAGCTAGGGACAGGAACTAGTACAAGAGCCTTGGGCCTTTGATGCACTCCACAGACATTAGAGGAATGCTAGACGTTGCTGCCCACACACTTCCTATCTCCTTTCTGCTGCAGCAGCTTGTATTTCTTACAAGACCTTAAATCTGCCAATGAACTAAAGAGAAGAAAGAAGACCAGGAGAGGGACCTGGAGTGTGAAGTTGCAGTCAAGTCACTTAGCAGTTTACCAGTATTCCAGGCTAGTGTAGTCAGCCCTGCCCATTGATGAGCCCATCACCTACCCTGTCAGTTCTTAAACAAACCCTTTCCTGCCTTAGGACCTGAGCATTTGCTGGTTTGTCTAGGCAATTCTTTCTGTGGCTGGTTTTTCCATACCCTTTAGATGTGATTCCCTATCTAAGGAAGTCTCTTATTTTTATATACTGTTGTTTTGTTTTTTTCCTTCCTGGCACTTAATGATGACCACTCACCTACTGGTTTATTGGCTGTACAAGTGATTAGATAGACTGTTAGCACCATGGGGCACAGTACATATCTGTAAAAGGCATCCCCAGCTGGCACAGTGGTGCATGCCTATAATCTCAGGGACTCCAGAGGCTAACATAGGAGTACTGCAGGTTGGAGACCAACCAGGGCAGCTTAGCAGGACCTTGCCTCAAAGTAAAAGAGGTAGAAGGTATAGCTCAGTCATACAATGCTTGCCTAGCCTGTGTGAAGCCTTGAATTTAGTTCCCAGTACTAGAAAGAAAAAAGGAGAGAGAGACTGACAACCAGTAACGAGGACAAAGTCAGGAACTATAAGAGTTCAAGGAGCTGGGAATGTACCTCAGTGCCCAAGGCCTTGGGTTCAGCCATGTGGATAGAGAGCCCAGACAAACATGGGGTAGGGTATTAGATGTGTCCCCCAGGTCACGAGCACCTTAAGCCTTGCAGCCAAGCAGTGGGGAATTTCTGATCTTGGTATTGCTTAGGAACAGTAGTGGTTTTTTGTCGGCCTTTGTGACTTTTATAGCCTTTGTGACTTTTTTCTGCACTGCTGCAAGATTATGCTTTACAGCCTCTGAGGAGTGAATTGTTCAGCATTATCTCCTCCTTTTCATCTGTCTACACCCTGCCAGACAGCAGGTTCTTCTATTTCATGAAATACTTGTCCTTTTCTTGCCACCTCCTTTAACATAATCTGAACTGTCAGCCTCACTCCAAGCTACTCGTAAGGCTAAGGGAGGTAGATCACAAGTTCGAGAACAGCCTGGGCAATTTAGAACGAGATCCTGTCTTACAGTAAAGAGTAAAGGCTGTGGTGTAACTCAGCACTAGAGACCTCCTAGGTTCTATCCCCAGTGCCATAAACAAAACAAAACCATCCTGCTGGGCATGGTGGTGCACACCTGTAATGCCAGCACTTGGGAGGCTGAGAGGCATAATCACTGAGTTTGAGGCTAGCCTGGCAGCCTGAACCACAGAGTGTTCAAGGCCAGCCTGAACTATAATAGCAAGATCCTGTCTCAGAACAAAACAATCCAATGGCTCCCACTTGCCCATAAAGAACCGAATCCTTACTGTAAGAGGTCATGTCTAGTTTCCACTCTGATCCCTAGCCACATGGACCTGCCTTCCCAGTTTCTCTTTGGCACTGTGCTGCATTCCTCCTCCCTTAGCTCTCACCTCAGCAACTGGTTGTCCTTCAGATCTCTGCTAAACAGCCACTTCCTCAGAGAATAATATTTCACAGTCCACAGACAAGACTAGAACCATTGTCTCCAAAAGCACCAGCCGGGCCTGGTGGCACATGAGTGTTACCCCAGTGCTCGGGAGGCTGAGGCAGGAGGATCATTGCAAGTTAGACACCAGCCTGGGCTACAAAGTGAGCTCAAGGTAAACCTGAATTGCATAGTAAGACCCTGTCCAAAAAGACCAAAAAAAAAAGCACTATTGTCTCTTGTCTTTATTGGCCTTAACATTTATAATAGCAATTTTATATTTGTTAATGTGACTTCTGTTTTTTTTCTTTTCTTTCTCCAGGACCTTCACAGTGAGTTCTCTCATTCTCTCTCTCTCTCTCTCTCTCTCTCATTTCTCTCTCTCTCTTTCACACACACACACACACACACACACACCACCACCACCACCATCACCCACCACCCACCACTCACCACCACCACTTTTTTTTTGAGACAAGGTTTCACTATGTAGCCCAGGCTGGCCTAGAACTCACAGTGATCCTCCTGCATCAGCCTCCCAAGCATTGGGATGACAGTGTGCACCACCATGACTACCCATAAGGAGCTCACCAGGTTCCATGCCGTATGCCTACAATCCCAGCACCTGGGAAGCTGAGGCAGGAAGATCACAATTTCAAGGCCATCCTGGGCTACTGCTTTTTTTTTTTTTTTTTTTTTAAAAGCAAGATTAAGTCACACTAAATTGTCCAGGCTGGATACAAATTTGGAATTCTCCTGCCTCAACCTCTCAGAGGTATACTAACATGCTTAGCCTTGCCCCTGCTCATCCCCCAGTCCTGGGGATTAAACCCACAGAGCACTAAACTATATCCTCATCCCTTTTAATTTTTTTATTTTGAGACAAGATCTCATTAAGTTACCCAGGCTGGATTTAAACTTTCAACCTTCTCACCTCAGTCTGTAGTAGCTGGGATTACAGGCATGGACTACCACACCTGGCTCAGTTTGTGTGACTTTATAGAACTCTCCCCTTCTCCATGAATCTCTGTGAGGGCAGGGATCTTGTCTGTATTTCCTGGTGCCTGGAAAACAGTACTTAGTAGCTGTGTTGGATGGAGTGAACTGATCAGTCTCTTGTACTTATTCCAGATATGTAACTGGTTCATCAACGCCCGCCGGCGGCTCCTCCCGGACATGCTGCGGAAGGATGGCAAAGACCCTAATCAGTTCACCATTTCCCGCCGAGGGGGGAAAGCCTCAGATGTAGCCCTTCCCCGTGGTAACAGCCCCTCGGTGCTGGCCGTGTCCGTACCAGCTCCTCCTAATGTTCTCTCCTTGTCTGTGTGCTCTGTGCCACTTCACTCAGGCCAAGGGGAAAAGCCAGCAGCTCCCTTCCCACAAGGGGAGCTAGAGGCCCCTAAGCCGCTGGTTAGCCCAGGTGGTACACTGACCCTGCTGACCAGGGCTGAGGCCGGGAGCCCCACAGGTGGACTTTTCAACACACCGCCACCCACACCCCCAGAGCAGGACAAGGAGGACTTCAGCAGCTTCCAGCTGCTGGTGGAGGTGGCACTGCAGAGGGCTGCTGAGATGGAGCTTCAGAAGCAGCAGGACCCAGCACCTCCATTGCTGCACACTCCCATCCCTCTAGTCTCCGAGAACCCCAAGTAGGCATCTGCCAACAGGGGTGCTCAAGGCTAAAGCCAGCTGTCCTGGGTTCCCGGTTCGCTTCCCTCCTACAGAGGTTTTCTGTGGATCACTGCCAAGCATCAGGGTCATCTCCTCTGTCCAGCAGTCTCAGCAGGAAGATGCCAGCTGGCGTCACTGCACTGTGATGGGGACCTCTCCTATGCTGACTCTGCCATTTCTCCAGGCCTCCTCAGTGATGAGACCAAGGGACTGGAGACAGGCATGGTGCTGCTGCTGCTTCTCCAGAGAACCCCAGGACACTCTTGTTCCAGCCTGCTTTCCTGGGCTGGACTCAGGAAACCTGCCAAGTTCAGACCTCTCTGAGTCCAAGCTGCCGCTGAGCTGTGCCTCTTTCTGTCAAGCCAGGTGTGGACATTCCAAGTTCGTAAGTGTGGACAAAAGAGGAACCCAGCAGATGTAACAGGACCGACTCCAGTTGAATGTTTAGGTGTTTGCTAAACTGTTCATTTTTCCCTTTTTGCTGTGGTTTGCATTTATAGCAGTAGTTATCCCAGGTGTGGGGAATGAGCATTGCATGATAGAGTCTGATAAACGGAGATTTATCTACCACTGCAACTGAGGGTTTTTGTGTATGGAAGGAGTATTTGTTATTTTGGGGACCAGCTAAATTTCTGCAGTAGCACAAAATTTCAAATGATTTTGGTGTTGGCTTACCACCCACAACACAAGCCCACCACCTCTGGGCAAGAGAAAACGCAGGGGGACACATGGGCACTAGCTTGTTTGCATTAGGTACAGAAGGGGATAAGGCCACAACCAAGGGAGAACCCAATAGAATCTGACAAAACCTAGACTTAGAGCAGAGAAGAATGGTAAGAACCAGATAAGTGTTTGTTTTTATTTTTCTTTTTACTGTATTTGGGGGGGGATAAGTAAACTAGACTAAGAAAGTGATTTTTTTTTTTCTTTCATTTTAATGTTGTCCCCTCTTTGTTCAAGGCTTTGTCCTACAGCCTGAGTCCTGAGTCCCTTTGGGAACTTGGCTAGAACATCAGAGGTTCTAGTATCCCCTTCTTGGAGAGAAGTGAGCCATCTGCTGGTCAGGAAGCCCTTGTAGCTACTCCAACAGGCATCTTTTCCCACAACCAAGGCAGGAAGGTATTCTGGAGGAGGTGTGAGTGTCCTTGTTTCACTTTTCTGTAAGTTGGACTTGCAGGGGCCTGCCTGAATTTCCCAGTGAAACAGATCGTACTTGGTCTTTATCGCCCTCTCTCTTTTTATTTTGCTGTTTCATTGCTGATAGTGTTCAACAGCAGTATACCCCATCTTTATATATTCTAAGAAACACTAATCTTAGATTTTTATTAGCCATCATATTTTTGTTCTTAATAACGTTGTTACTGGGCCAAAAAATAGGCCAGGAGCCCAGGTCTGTAGTTTCCTGAAATTGCCAGGTTGGGCATAAGGGGAAGGGGTTCCTGGGTGTTGACTGACTTGGATGTACCTGGCCAGAAAAAAGACAGAATGCATTCTCTGTCCTTTTAGGAAGACCCTGGCACCCTCAGGAAGGCCCCCACACACACACTCTTGAGTGGCTGGGCCCATCCCTTGCTTGTGGAAGTGGGAATAGATCTTTTCTTTAACTGCAAGTGAGTTATCTCTTGGTAGGCAAGATTCCTGGGCTCCGGTCCATCTCCTTTCAGCCCCTTCCTCCTGTATCCCAGGGGGTCAAGGGTCCTCATCCTGAGGCTTAGCTGGTAAAGAATGAACATGGCAACTTCAGAGCTAGTTGAAGCTGCTATCTGTCCATCTTGTCCAACCCAGCCATGTCTGTGAGTGAGCCCAGGACCAGTGTGACTGTAGCAGGGGACTTGGAGTATACTGGGCTGAATGAGATTTTCCTTTCCCACAGAGCACTGAGGAGGAGAGTGATGAGGGGGAGGGGTGAGGGAGCCATGCTGCTGAATTCTGTTTGGCATTCCCCCCTTATGTAAAATGGGGTGTCGGGGGGGTGGGGCAGCCTCTGCTTAAGTGGGTTATAAGATACACCTGGAGAAGCAGTTGTCCCATTCAATTATTTGAGCAAACAACTACTGTAAATAACTTGTTTTTGTCTTTTGTCAAATAAAGTTGTTTTGTTTTTATTTTTAAAGTAGAACAAAGTGTTGTTTGTTTGATCCACTGACTCTGGAGACAGTTTTTATTCTGCCCTACCTCTTTGTCTTCAGTAGCCATCTGAGTTTTGTGCATTCCATCTCCTTATTACCTTTCCTCACCCCACTCCATATCCCATGGGGATGTAACCATCTCATGCTGGGCCAGTCTGCCCTGGGATCAGCAGTTGAACTTTGGGGATGCTAAGGGATTAAGGGTGTGAACTTGAGGAACTGGCACTTTTAACTAAAGCATGAAACCAGCACAGAGAAAAGCAGATATAAGACCACTATTCCAGTCATTTCTGCAGCCAGTACCACCTCCACTTCCCTATTATGTAAGCCAGTAAACTGCCCCACTTAAACTAGCTGTAAGTGCATTTCATCCACATCAAAATAACTACATTAATTGCAGCCTAAAGTACAAAAACCAAGGGCTCTGAAGCCTGGTATGTTAGTGCATACCTGTAGTAATCCCAGTTGTCTGGGCAACTGAGGCAGGAGAATCTCAAGTTCAAGCTTAGTCTGAGCAACTTAGCAAAACACTGGGGATGCAGCTCAGTTAAAGGTCCTGACTATCGGGGAGGGTAAGGTCTGCGCAACATTTACAATCTTACAAATTTTATGTGTACACAAAAAATGTGTTGCTCTTTTCCTAGGTAAAACTGGGTGGGGATTTAAGTTGTTTGAATGCATACCCACTGTAAGTACAGAACAAAGAACAAAAAAAGTGCAGAGCTAGGATTTGAATTCAAGTTTGTCTTGCTTCAAGGTCACTCTGGTCTGCCAAAAATCTCTGTGAACCAGTTGGGGGCGATTTACCACTTACTAGGATCTAGCTACATAAAAGTAGTATAAGCTAAGCACAAGTCTGTTTTTCCATGTGTGTGCTAATAAGCAGGTACTGTACCACTGAGCCACAGCCCTGGCCCAGAGGAATTTTCTTGAACAACCAAACTTGTTTCTTCATGATTTCTCCAGTACACGTGGATGAAGGATGTGTGATCTCTTCCACAGGTCACTTTCCTTTGGGGATTTAGAGAGTGAACCTCCCCAGCCGGCCGTGGTGGTGCATCCCTGTAATCTCAGCACTCAGTAGCCAAGAGGATCTTTGCGAGTCTGACGCCAGCCTGGGCTACAAAGTGAGCTCAAGGTCAGCCTGAACTGCATAGCGAGACTCTGTCTCAAAAAGACAAAAAAAAGAGAGAACCTCCCCAATCAAGTTCCCTAGGCGAAAGAGCCTCAACTTTACCCATTTGTCCAAGGTCCTGATTTTCTAACTTGCCTGTCAGTATCCTCCAAAGCAGACACTTAGCTTTAGGGCTTGGAAGAATGAGTAACTGCTGAAAAGACTTTCTTTCAAAATAAATTAAATTAAAGCTGGGTGTGGCAGCACATCCCTGGAATCTCAGCGCTCTGGGAAATTGAGGCAGCTCAAAAATTTGAGTCCCTCTTGGGCATTTTAGGGAGACTTGTCTCAGTAAAAGATAAAAAAGTCTGGGATGCAACTCAGAAGGCTCTGGGTTCAATTCCCAGTACTGGAAGAAAAAAAATGTTTTTAAATAGGTTGTTTCATTTGCATCTGGAAAATGAATACTAATACTCCCCTAAAAAGAGGAAGCAGATGATTCTACTGCTTAAGGGGAGATGCTTCCTACAAGTACTTTTCATAGAACTGAAACCAAAACTTCTGTACCAGTTTTTCAAACCGGTCGGCCCTGATGAAGTGAATGAGCGCTCTAGATAAACGAAGCTGAAGGGATAATGTGAAGGGCACCCTCCTCTGAAGCTGGGATTGTGAAGGTTAAACTTAACTGTCAACTGGAGAAGGAGACTCCAGGAAATGACTGGATCATGGAGGCACTACCCTCATCAGGGGACTCACCCACTGATCTTCACAGCTGAATGTGCTGTTAGGAGGTGGGTCACTGGGGGGTGTCTTTGGAGGGCACGTCTCTCACTGGTACACTTCCCCTTGCTTTTCCTGCCTGGACGTGAAAGCTATCCTCCACTAGGCACTTCTGCCATGCCCTTTCTGCCTTGGTTTCAGCCAACCATGGACTAAAATCTCTGAAACAGCCAAAATAACCTCTCTTCCTTTCAATTAAGGATACGGTATTTCTCAGCAACAGGGAGGTTGACAAATACAATGACCTTTCTTGTAACACTCGTTTAGGAAACACCTTTTAAAATACATTTTTGTGTCAGGCATGTGTTTTTGCTAGAGATAGAACCCAGAGCCTCACACATGGTAGGCAGGTGCACTGCCACTGGAATATATGCCAGCCCTCAATCTTTGAAGCTACTAGATGAGAGGAAGAAGAGTCCTCCTCAAACCACTGACTTCTTTGCGCTCAGTAGTCTCTGCTGACTTGAAGGTCAAGTATAGCCTTCCTGAGATTTTTAATTTTATAACTTTCATGCCTGGATTCCACATCCATAGATTAAACCAACCATGGAAAGTAATTGGGAAAAAAATTGTGCTGACCATGTACACTCTTCCTGTCATTCTGCCTCAGACAATTCAGCATAACAACTATATAACATTTTATTATTTTAGGTACCGTCAGCAATCTAGAAATGATTTAAAGTACACAGGAGGATGTACACAGGTAACATGCAAATACTACACTTTTATGTAAGGCACCTTGAGATGCTCTCAGATCCGAGTATCCACAGGGAGTTCTGGAACCGATCCCCCATGGACACCAAGGGAAAAGTGCAGTCTATATTCACTACAGAAAAACAAAACAAGGGGCAGGGAGTATAGCTTAGTAGCACTGTGCCTGCCTAGCAAGTGCGAGGGCCTGTGTTTCAATTCCCAGTGCCCGCATCCCCACCCCCCCCCCAAAAAAACAAAACAAAAAGGTTAAAGGGGAGGAATTTAGTACGATGGTTAAGAGACTAGCTAGCATTTGCAGGAAAACATATGTATGCAAAACATTTCTTAGGCAACTGGCACTTAGTAAGGGCTTATAAAATGCTAGTATAACATTTACTACAGGCAGGGCTGAAGCTATAGCTCAGTGGCACAAGCGCCTGCCTGCCAAGTGCAAGGTCCTGAGTTCGATTCCCAGTACCAAAAAAAACATGTACTACGGGCAGAAAAAGAGTGTGTCCAGGATACAAAGTCAGACCTCTGCCTCCAAACAGGTGCTTATTCTGTGACTGGTAGCGCCCCCTCCCTACCCCTGATTTCTGTAATCCATCAGGGTCGGGGCCACAGTCTCACCCTTCAGAGTACACCTTCCTCTCCAAATCCACTAAGCAGCTGGCAGTGACTCAAAGGCCTTCAGCAAGGAGAAAATATGCATCCTTAAAGTGGAGACTATGTGTTCAACCAGAGCTAAAAAAAAAAAAAAAACCCACACCTCACAAAGACACAATGTGTCCTACTTCCAACTCTGTACAGCTTCCAACTCTGTACAGCTTCCAAATCTGACTCTTCATCAAGTTCTTTTCCATCTTTGACCACCCAAGATGTTTCTTGTAACCAGATAAATGTACTGGGATTCAGCCAGACTCCCACTTCCTAAGATAAGGAGAGCCTTGGGTGAAAGCAGAAAGAGAACAAGTCTGACTTCATAAATACCTTCTAGGCAAGGACTTCCACCCTGGTTGCCAGCATGGCTTTGTCTGCTCCTAGAAAGCTAAGAAGAGAAACACAGATCATGTTTCAGGTGACTATTTAACCTCTAATTTGCTGTGTTAACCTTGGGCTGCACTGCAGACTCTGAGAACCCTTCCAACTATAACTTTCTGTAATCTCCCATATGCCCACGTAAGAATAATTTAATGACTCTCAGTTAACAAATGTTCAATATAATACAAATAGCACATATGAAGATAGTAGGCTGGGGATGTAGCTCAGTGGTAGAGCTCTTACATGCACAAGGCCCTGGGTTTGGTCTCCAGCACGTTAAAAAAAAAAAAATTAGTGTTTTTTCCCCCCTGTAGAAGTTACCAACAGGAAATTTCCTGAGATGCCTTTCAACATATTGAAAGATGATGTGATCCTGTATGTAGAAAACCCTAAAGATACTACCAAGAAAATCTCATTAGGATAAAAAGATTCACCAAGTTGCAAGATACATCAACATACAAAAATATGGCAACGCCTGTAATCCCAGCACTCAGGAGGCCGGGCCAGGAGGATTGTCATGAGTTAAAGAGATCTTGTCTCCAAAAAAATAAAAATTGGCCAGGTGTGGTAGCATATCCCTGCAATCTCCGCACTGGAGAGGTTGAGGTAGGATGATTGCTGTGAGTTCAAGGCTAGCCTGAACTCAGCCTGAGCTACATAGTGAGTTCAAAGCCAACCCAGACTACTTAGTGAGATCCTGTCTCAAAAAAGAAACAATAAAAAAGAACAAAGTTAGAGGCTGAAGGATTCATACTTTCTGATCTCAAAACTTACTACAAAGCTACAATCATCAAAACAGTGAGCCACTGGAAAAAAACACAGACACACAAATCAACAAAACAGAATAGAGGGTTCCAAAGTAAATCCTCATATATAATGGCACAGTTAAGTGATTTTCAATAAGCTCAATATGAAGGCCCTGAGTTCAAGTCCCAGTACTGTCAAAAAAAAAAAAAGGAATTTGTTATGTATATTTCTCTTTTTTTTTTTTTCCAGTACCAGGAATCAAACTCACAACCTTGTGCTTACCAGGCAGGTACTGTGCCACTGAGCTAAATCCCCAGCCCCTTGTTATGTATATTTCACTATAATTTAAAAAAAAATTTTTTTTTTTTTTTCGGTTTTTCTCCGGTACCGGGAACCGAACTCACGACCTTGCGCATGCCAGGCAGGCGCTTTTGCCGAATTTTTAAAATATTTTTGCCAGGCTTGTTGGCACATGCCTGTAATTTCAGCACTCAGAACGGTGAGGCAGGAGGAATGCGAGTTCAAGGCTATCCTAGGCTACATAGTGTCTCGAAAAACAAAAGTAAATACATAAATATTTGAAAATTTTTAAATTTTTTTAATTAAAAAACAACTTTTGCCAGGCATAGCAGTACACATCTGTAACACCAGCTACTTTACAGGCTGAGGCAGAAGGATCACAAGTTCAAGGCCAGTCTGGGCAAACTGGACACTATCTCAAAATTTTAAAATGCCTGTTGGGACATAGCTCAGTTTCAATCCCCTACACCACAAAAGAAAACAAAATCTTTTTTCTGTGATGGTGGGGATAGAATTTCAGGGGATCCTGCATGCTAGATAAGTGCTTTATCACTGAGATACATCCACACCCCTAAAAGAATTCCTTTTTAATACAATTTTCTCCATCTTTTGTCCCCCTAGAAACTCAATTAATGACTTTAACTGCCTTAATAGCCCCTCTCCTTTTTTATTCCCCCAGTGCTAAGGACTGAACTAAAGGACTTATGGGTGCTAGGCAAGTACTGTACCATGCAGCTACACCCCTGGTCCTTCATTTTATTTATTTTTATTTATTTTATCTTATTTTATTTTTTGGTTTTTTGAGTCAGAGTTTCATTATGTAATTGAGGCTGGCCTTGAACTCACTACGTAGCCCAGGCTCGCCCCAAATTTGCGGCAATCGTCCTGCCTCGGCCTCCTGAGTGCTGGGATTACAGGTGGTCACCACAGGCTAAGCATCCTTCCAACACTTATGATGTAATCATTTTGTGTCCAGAACTGTATGCCACAGAGTCTAAAAGAGATTTGTACCAACGATATTTACTGAACTAGAATGAGGTGATTAAGTTTTACTGTTGCATAGGCGAGAGACACTGGTTCAAAAAATGTGCAAGGCTGAAAAAAAGATCATTGTGAAAATTAGCATTAAAGGTTTGTACCCATATCAAGCATCTGGCCCTTCCACCTAGGTCCAGTCCTACTCAATCTCCTGAAACAAGATTTCAAGGGTGGGATTAGAGTGGACAACATCAGGTATAGTCTTCTAGGAAAACCACCCTGGAGACTCTGTTGCTAACCTGAAGTGAAGAACTGGTGAATGTTGACAGGCATGCAAGGGAGGTTCTGACCCGACTGATACTCTTTAACACTTACAGCTTACAAGTTAAGAGAGTACAGATTTTGGTCTCTCCATTTACCGTGCAGCATCGCGCACAGCACCACCTGGACGGCTTAATGTAACACTGACAAGGCCAAGTGTGGCGGCACGGGCCGCCACTGGGGAGGCTGAGGCAAGAGATGTGCGGCAAGTTCGAGGTCAGGCAGGGCTAGTCAGTTCAAGGCCGGCCAGAACTACCATAGCGAGACTTGGTCTCAACAACAAAAACCAAAATAACTACAAAAACACTGCCAATAGACCTACCCCAGAATTTGTCATCGAGTAGGTGTGGAATAGGGTCCGAGAATTTGCAGCTCTGTCAAGTCGCTGCTGCTGCTGCTGGTCCGCGAACACACGGACTTCTGGTGAACTACTGCCCTGGCTAGCACAGGGGAGGGTACAAAAGATCAACATCATAAAGCGTGCTATCGCATTTCCCCCCGAAGCAGTCCTGAGTTGGTTCCAACTTGCCTTAGAAAATAATGTCTGGTCTTGGTATCTCACATTTGTGAAAACGGTGCTAGGAGGAGGAGACGCTACGCTGTTACAGAGAACTAACGTCTTGAACACGGCTCTACAAAACGTGCAGCTCAGGGGAGACAGCGCAGCTGAATCCCCGCACCGGTCCAGGCTCTTACAGGTGAGCAGCTCACAAGGCCGCGGCCCGACGGGACAAGGTGTGGCTGCCTGAGCGACCTCCACCTTCGCCTCAGTCGGAGCTCCTCGGTCGCCACAGCGCCTCCCCGCGCTGCGAGGTCCCTTCCACCAAGTACGGCCCCGTCCCCTCACCCTTTCGCACGCCCGGAGGAAGTTTGTCGTCACTTCCGCCATGCGCATGTCTCTTGCGCCGAGGCGGGGGCCGCCCTCTCGCTCGGGCGGCTGCGCGGCCGCCTATTGGCTGCGTGGGCACGTCGGCGGGAGGTCGCGGCGCGCCGCTGCCCCTCTCTCCGCGGCGCCAGCTCCGGGGAGTGAGGTGAACCGAGCACCTTAGCCAAGCGCTGCAGTGTGCTGATCGTGTTGCCGCTGCCGACGCCGCCCTGCGCGCCGTGACCCGCGATCCCAGACCCCGACTCCCTTTGGCTCGGCCCGCGCGCCCCAGGCCCGGCCCGGCCGGCGCGACGGGAGGATGAGCGGCGGGCGGCGGAAGGAGGAGCCGCCTCAGCCGCAGCTGGCCAACGGGGCCCTCAAAGTCTCTGTTTGGAGCAAAGTGCTGCGGAGCGACGCGGCCTGGGAGGACAAGGTGCGGGGGGCCTGGCAAGATCGCAGGTTCGAGGATCCGGCTGGGACTCGGGGGACGGGAGGACTGGCCCGGGCCTGGCCCTACACGATCCGGGCGCGGTGGAGTGCGCTGGCGAGGCGCACGGCGCCGGGGCGAACTTGGCGGGCTTGCCCAAGACTGAAGCCCCTAGGTCGCGCCGAAGCGGGGAGGTGGGAGCAAAAGAATTGTCCTCCGAAGGTTGGGCGTGCACCGTGTGTGACAAGAGTGAGCTGAATTCGATTGGGTCTTCTCCTGTTATTCCAGTAGGATCTTAGCACAAACAGTAATGGTGCCAGACTTGTACTGAGTACTCTGTGCCAGGTGCACAATCCCACCGAACTGAATTCTCAGACCAGCCGTGAAGTGGGGATGCCGTGGTGCCGCGAAGCGGTCGGCACATGGTGAAGTTCGCTGGTGGTGTACTGCCGTCGTTTGGTGGTTAAATTAGGAAAGACAGTGCTGTCCCTTCTGGGGCGAGTATGTGTGAGAGAGGAAGGGTGTTCTTGCGGGGTCACTTTAACAGGGTGAGTTGTGAGCACCCCTCAGCCTTGCTCCGTGATCTGGAAGGGATGATCAAGCAGCTTGATTCCAGTTGACTAGAAAAGAGCGTTATATTTGCAGTCCTTCCTTTGTTTTTGCACCCTGTCGAGGTTGGGGTTTCTTTCCTGAGTTCCGGTAAAGGGGGATGGGAGGCACTTCCTGAAGGTGCCCTTGTCCTGCCCCCAGCCCTGCCCAGCTGTTGCAAAACTTACAGTCTCTTTGTGATCTGCTGTGTCATTTCTTTTCTTTGCTTTTTATTTTTCTCCCCTGGTATAAGGACTGGTTTCTGGAGTACAGGGCAATTTAGAGACTGTAGTCTTCGGTGTTCTGTAAAATTTAGATGTGCTGGCACCTGCCTCCAGCACTTTTGTTTCTAATCCTCTTTTTTTTTTTTTTTTTTTTGTACCAAGAATCGAACTCAGAACCTTGCGCTTGCCAGGCATCTAATGCTTTCTTTTCTCTGTGAATTACTCAAAATTTAGTGTACTGGGGCCGGGGATATAGTTCAGTGGCACAAGCACCTACCTGACAAGTGCAAGGTCCCCTGAGTTCGATCCCCGGTACCAAAAAAAAAAAAAAAATTTAATGTACTGAAAGGAGGTCCAGGTAGGTATCAGCAGTTTTGCCTAGCGACTGTCTAGGTCTTGCCTGGTCAGCTAAGAGTTATCTGTGGCCAGTAGCATTTATTACAGCCATTTCAGTACACAGTTTCTCAAGAAAGGTAAAGATTTCTCTAAAATTTCGACTGAGGGGCTGGGGATTTAGCTCAGCGGCAAAGCGCCTGCCTGGTAAGCGCAAGGTCGTGAGTTCGGTTCCCGGTACCAGAGAAAAACCAAAAAAAAAAAATTTCGACTGAGAACACAGGCTCTGGAAGTAATCACTTAAGATGTCTAAATATTTGTTTCTAACCACATTTTACTCTAAGTAAAAGGTGAGGTAAGAGCCACATACCATTGCTATTGGGGAAGAGTTCCCAGAAAGATATGTTTAGCAGCAAGCTTTTCCTTTTCCCCACTACGAGCAGTCCTGTGGCACCCACTCCAGATAATATAGGCATTGCCTCCCTGTCTTTTCTGCAGGATGAATTTTTAGATGTGATCTACTGGTTCCGACAGATCATTGCTGTGGTCGTGGGTGTCATTTGGGGAGTTTTGCCATTGCGAGGTTTCTTGGGAATAGCAGGGTAAGTCTTGGGTATCTTGTGTTTTCATGGTTTTATCTCTCTTTCTGTCTTTTGGGAGGAGGGATTGCTGGGGTTGTTTTGTTTTGTTTTGAGACAGGGTTTCACTGCGTAGTCCAGGCTGGCCTCGAACTTGCGGTGATCCTTCTGCCTCAGCCTAAGTGCTGGGATTATAGGCATGAGCCCTGCCTGGCTCTCATCTCTTTAAATAGAAGCTTGTGTGTTCTTTTGATGGAAAAAGCTACTGCCACTTTGGAGTTAGACACATTGTGTGTGAGGACAGAAGTGGGCTCCGTGACAACACTCCTGGGTCTGGCGCAGCATTCCTCAGTTCATCAGACCCAGGAACATCTCATGTTAGGCAGCCTACCTTCCTGAAGGCTAGACTAGTCCATTCATTCATGGCTCTAAAGTGATTTCATGCAGGAAGCTGCCATAATACATGTTGGGGTATATATTCTAATTCTGTTGTGATCGGTACCTAGGGAAATTTGGGAAAGGGAACAATTTGTGTGCTTGATGACCATCTCCCTTGTGCCTGGCACTCTGTTGGATCTGCTGAATCTTGGCTTTGGTAGAAGATTCGTCATGCCAAATGTGGTAGTGCATGCCTGTAATTCCAGCACTAGGGAGGCTGAGGCAGGAGGATTGCCATGAGTTCAAGGCCAGCCTGGGTTACATAGTGAGTTTAAAGACCAACCCCAACTACATAGTGAGACTCTGTCTCAAAAAAAAAAAAAAAAAAAAGATACATCAGGTCCCTGCTTTTTATTTATTTTATTTATTTATTTATTGGTACCAAAGTCAAACTCAGGACCTTGGGCTTGCCCAGGCAGGTGCTTGTGCCACTGAATTATATCCTCAGCCCAAGGTCCTTGCATTTTAAGAGCAACCCCAGAGTAGGTGGTTGGGCCTCACTTGTATTATGTTCCCCTGGCCAGTGACAGTACACTTGACACCAGCCCCTGGTTGTGGCTGAGTTTGTTAACATGCTTCTGAAAGTGAGGCTTTGTGCCCATCAGATTGAATTTAAAAGAGGACAAGCCATTGTGGAAATGGAGGGCCTTTCCTTTTCTCTTCTCATGTGGGGAACACAAGTGGTCACCCTCTCCCCAGTGGAAAACCACATCATTTTTTTAGAGGATGATCATGTCTTATTATTCCATCTCCTTCAGGGTATAAGGAGGAACTGCATTATATAGGGTTGATTTGCCTGTTTTCTCAGAAGATAACCCAGCTAGATGTGCACATCTGTAGTCCCAACACTCAGGAGGCTGAGGCAGGAGGATCGCCATGAGTTCAAGGCCAGCCTGGGCCATGTAGTAAGTTCAGGGCCTGCCTGAACTATATGGTGAGACCTGTCTGCAAAAAACTTTTAAAAAGAAGATGATAACCCAAAAGGAATGTACATTAGTCCCTGCTTTATCCACAGGGAACATACAAGGTATGATCAGAATATATGAATATATGAATGTTTAGATTTTAAAATTTTATTACAGTAAAAGACACACTGCCATTAATCTTCCTCAGAGTACTCCTCCTTGCTTCAAACACTTACCCCGCCATTCTTGCCACTTTTTGAAGCAGTTCTAGGAGTTTTCTTTCATGAGTGACTTTAAAGGGCGTGATGAGATGTACGGTAACCACTGCTGCCGTGTGCCATCCAACAGGAAGGCAGGCTTGTAAAACAGTCCTCATCCACCCTGTCCACCAGATCGGGCACCATGAAACTCTCCCTCTTCCCCGAAGTCAAAATGATTAAGGTAAACATTTTGAATCGATCCAAAACATAAAGGTTAGGCAGGAATGACAGCGTAGCTGAAGATGCTCATGAAAGATGACCTCCAGGCCTCTTCCAAAAGTGTCAAGAATTATGGGTTAAGTGCGCTTATGGCAAAGGGGGCGTATAATGGGAGTTGATGGCAGTGTGTCTTTTATTGTAATTTTTTAAATTTTACAATTCACTGTATTTTACTGTCATACCTCATTCCAAGACTCCTGAAATCATGGAAAGTACCAAACCCTACATTACTGTGTTTTTTCTTTGTTTTTTTTTTTT